TACGAAATCATGTGCAGAAACAGGCGGAGGAAATAAGCTTCCAGAAGGACATCATCGCTCAAGTTCGGGACGAGTTACAGCAGCAGGAGGAACAGACTCGCAGGGCTCTCACCAAGGTGGAAAACGAAGATGTCGTGTTATTGGAGCGAGAGCTACGTAAGCACCAACAGGCCAACGAGGCTTTCCAGAAAGCGTTACGGGAAATTGGCGGGATCATCACGCAGGTTGCCAATGGTGACCTGTCGATGAAGGTGCAGATCCATCCCTTGGAAATGGACCCTGAAATCGCCACCTTCAAACGTACGATAAACACTATGATGGACCAGCTGCAAGTCTTTGGTAGCGAAGTGTCCCGAGTCGCACGCGAGGTCGGTACGGAAGGTATCCTCGGCGGCCAGGCGCAGATCACAGGGGTGCATGGTATCTGGAAGGAATTGACCGAGAACGTCAACATAATGGCCAAGAATCTCACTGATCAGGTCCGTGAAATTGCCGCAGTTACCACGGCAGTCGCCCACGGAGACTTGAGTCAGAAGATTGAAAGTCGGGCGCAAGGTGAAATTCTGGAACTTCAACAGACGATCAATACTATGGTTGATCAACTTCGGACATTTGCCACGGAAGTCACGCGGGTCGCGCGTGATGTCGGTACAGAAGGTGTTCTTGGTGGACAGGCTCAGATTGAAGGGGTACAAGGCATGTGGAACGAACTCACGGTGAACGTCAACGCCATGGCAAACAATTTGACTACGCAAGTGCGTGACATTGCAACAGTCACCAAGGCGGTCGCAAAGGGTGATTTGACGCAGAAGGTCCAGGCCAACTGCAAAGGAGAAATCGCGGAGTTGAAAAACATTATAAATTCCATGGTGGACCAATTGCGGCAGTTCGCCCAGGAAGTCACTAAGATCGCGAAGGAGGTCGGTACGGATGGTGTTCTTGGTGGTCAAGCAACTGTCAATGATGTGGAGGGCACATGGAAGGATCTGACGGAGAATGTCAACCGCATGGCCAACAATTTGACGACCCAGGTCAGAGAAATCGCAGATGTCACCACTGCTGTCGCCAAGGGTGATTTGACCAAGAAGGTTACCGCCAACGTTCAGGGTGAAATACTCGATCTGAAGAGCACGATCAACGGCATGGTGGACCGGCTGAACACCTTCGCCTTTGAAGTCAGCAAGGTCGCTCGCGAAGTCGGCACTGACGGTACATTGGGTGGTCAGGCCAAGGTCGATAATGTCGAAGGAAAGTGGAAGGATCTCACCGACAATGTAAACACCATGGCCCAGAATTTGACCTCCCAGGTGCGAAGTATCTCGGACGTGACACAAGCTATTGCCAAGGGTGATCTTAGCAAGAAAATTGAGGTGCATGCCCAGGGAGAAATTCTGACGCTGAAAGTTACCATCAATCACATGGTGGACCGACTGGCTAAATTCGCAACCGAGCTGAAGAAGGTCGCACGCGATGTCGGGGTCGACGGCAAGATGGGTGGTCAAGCTAATGTGGAAGGAATCGCTGGAACCTGGAAGGAGATCACGGAGGACGTGAATACCATGGCAGAGAACTTGACCTCTCAAGTGCGTGCTTTTGGTGAGATCACCGATGCTGCAACCGACGGAGATTTCACCAAGCTTATCACGGTCAACGCTTCCGGTGAGATGGACGAGTTGAAGCGCAAGATCAACAAGATGGTTTCCAACCTCCGAGACAGTATTCAGCGTAACACGGCTGCTAGGGAGGCGGCCGAACTGGCCAACCGCACCAAGTCTGAGTTCCTGGCAAATATGAGTCACGAGATCCGGACTCCCATGAACGGTATCATCGGTATGACGCAGTTGACGCTGGATACGGACGACCTCAAGCCTTATACCCGCGAGATGCTGAATGTTGTACACAATCTCGCCAACAGTTTACTGACCATCATTGACGACATACTCGATATCTCGAAGATCGAGGCGAACCGCATGGTCATTGAAAGCATCCCGTTTACTGTGAGGGGAACCGTCTTCAATGCTCTTAAGACCCTAGCGGTGAAGGCCAATGAGAAATTCCTCAGTCTCACGTACCAGGTCGATAACACTGTTCCTGACTATGTCATTGGTGATCCTTTCCGCCTGCGCCAGATTATCTTGAACTTGGTCGGCAATGCAATCAAGTTCACTGAGCATGGTGAGGTGAAACTCACCATCTGCAAATCCGATAGAGAGCAATGTGCGGCCGACGAGTATGCTTTTGAGTTCTCAGTATCCGATACAGGAATTGGTATTGAGGAGGACAAGCTGGATCTCATCTTCGACACTTTCCAGCAAGCGGATGGCTCGACAACGCGGAGATTCGGAGGAACTGGCCTCGGATTGTCCATCTCAAAGCGTCTGGTGAACTTGATGGGTGGTGATGTTTGGGTCACGTCCGAGTATGGTCACGGCAGCACATTCCATTTCACCTGCGTCGTGAAATTAGCCGACCAGTCTTTGAGTGTCATTGCGTCGCAACTCATGCCGTACAAGCACCATCGGGTCCTCTTCATTGACAAGGGAGAGAACGGTGGTCAGGCCGAGAATGTTATGAAAATGCTCAAGCAGATCGACTTAGAGCCTATTGTTGTGCGCAATGAGGACCACGTACCGCCACCGGAAATCCAAGATCCCTCTGGCAAGGAGTCCGGCCATGCTTACGATGTGATTATCGTGGACTCTGTGGCGACTGCCCGACTGCTGCGCACATTCGATGACTTCAAATATGTACCTATTGTTCTCGTCTGCCCCTTGGTGTGTGTCAGCTTGAAGTCCGCCCTTGACCTCGGTATCAGCTCATACATGACGACGCCATGTCAACCAATCGATCTCGGCAATGGTATGCTGCCTGCTTTGGAGGGCCGTTCCACGCCCATCACGACCGACCATTCTCGCTCGTTCGACATTCTCTTGGCGGAAGACAATGACGTCAATCAGAAATTGGCCGTCAAGATTTTGGAGAAGCACAACCACAACGTGTCTGTTGTCAGTAACGGTCTTGAGGCCGTCGAAGCCGTGAAACAGCGTCGCTACGATGTCATCTTGATGGATGTGCAGATGCCGGTAATGGGTGGATTCGAAGCCACCGGAAAGATCCGTGAGTACGAGAGGGAGAGCGGCCTCAGCCGAACCCCTATCATCGCGTTGACAGCGCACGCCATGTTGGGCGATCGAGAGAAGTGTATCCAAGCCCAGATGGATGAGTATCTGTCCAAGCCTCTGAAGCAGAACCAAATGATGCAGACCATCTTGAAGTGTGCTACCCTAGGTGGTTCCCTTCTGGAAAAGAGCAAAGAATCGCGAATCTCCAGCAGCGGCGAGATGCATCCCGTCCATCACAGCCCCGCGGATGGCAAGCATCAGCGCCCAGGTATGGAGGCGAGAGCCTTGACCGCATCAGGCGCCATGAACGGCGGTAGTCTGGCAAGCCCGACTCTGGAGAAGGAAGACCTGACCATGGAGAGGGTAAGCTGGCTCACGGAATCACAAAGAATTTGCTTATACTGACCGAATCACAGGCACTGTTGCGGTCCAACAGCTCGTGAGACGATTTCAAGATTCTTCCATTCCGCTTGCTTTTTTCTTTTTCATCTTTCGAGTGGCTTCGATGCAAATCATATACCCTATCCCTTTGCGCGCCTGTACGAAATGTTCACTGGCATGGTGACTTCTACGTCTTTCATTCAACATTCCTCCTTCGCATCATTTCAGGTGCACATGTGGATCTTGGGAGCCTAACTCCCTGAATTCCATGTGACTGAACATAACCAGCTCTTGCCGTTGCCCCCCTCCTCTTTCTCTTGCTTCTCGGTCGAATCCTCCATCTTTGCATACGTCTTGTTGCGCGTAACCATTGTCGACAGTTCCAGCCATGGCCATTTATACGTTGTATCTGACACTTTTTTTTTTCGCGTATACTATATTTTTTCTGATTTCGGATTGTGATTGTGACCTGTAAGGCCTATGTGTCTCTGTGTGGTGTTTTGCGGCGCATGGAAACTTTTTTTCTATGACTTAGTGGGAGCGAGAAGGCTTGGAGGGGGAGGCGGCGGGCTGCTCTTTTCAATTTCTGTCCTGAACTATACTACATGTTTGCATGGAATGAAGATTGGCATGAATTTTGACTCCGCAACCACACCCACCAAAATCTCCCTGTATGTCTGTAAATGGTTGCAACTTTTTTTGTTTCTCTTGCATATGTTTCTCTTGCATATGTTTGTCTCCACCTTTTCCACTTTCCACCATCTTAAATCTTTATTATATTGATGTGTTCCCGGCATCATCCTTCATGTTCTAACCCTTTTTCTCCTCTTCTACTTATTTTCTATATTAAGCGGCATGTGCCATTCTTCCTTCTCAAGATCTGTATTGTATTTAAACCGGGCTATATTCACTTTCTTCCGCTTCTAGCCCCATCAGGAGATGGGATTTGAGTCAGATATTCAATCTTTATTCGGACCGAAGAAGTATATCCATGATAACTGTCGCAGGCGGATGAAAAGCTAGAGTGTGTGTGTGGGGAATAGCTAGAAAACCTTCCACATCTCTGATTCTTAGAATATCCATTAATAGCAAGTACAGTACAGTAGTCCCCAATACTGCAAACCCCCCCCCCCCCCTATTTCTTAATTTAACTTTATGATTAGCAGGGTAAGGTGGGTTTTGGTTTTGAATCCCTAGACTGCACTGCACTGCAATTGCTATCAATACTATGAATATAACGAAAATACTGTGCGTATCACGGAGTACCATGGATATCGCAAGCATCATGGTTATCACAAGCCACCATCAATATCATAAACCACTAAATTACCACCCGGAAGACGATGAACGAGCAAGCTATAGCCTGGCGTGGCGTGCGTGCATCAAAGAAGAAGCAAACTTTTTTTTTTTTTTTTTTTTTTTTCAGTTACCGCGACCCCTCCATTATTAATGGAGGAATATTAGATTAGAGTCCAGATTCGAAAAGAGAGAGACAGAAACAATATTAGAAGAGAAGAAGCGAGGAAACGAGGAAAAGCAAGCGGATTACATGATCATAATCATCACAATGAGCGTTTGTTCGCTACCCCCCAAGCCCCCAGCGATACTACAAACCCAACACACACGCCGTCCGTTTGACTTGTGAAGAATTTCCAAGTGATTAGATCGGATTAGGCCAAGACGTCTCCAAGATCCCGCCGGATCACTGGGAATCGGAACTCGTGGTGGCGTGCGGGTAGGTGTCCCGCTGGGGCTGCTGGGGCTGGTGCTGGAGCTGGTGCTGGAGCTGGCGGGTGTGGTGGTGGCTGTGAGGGACGGGATGACGACGACGATGATGAAGCCCGAGAAGAAGAAGGAGTCGGGACGAAGAATGGTCCCGTTACGGTGGTGGAGGAGATGTGTGTGGGCGTTTGAGTGGAAGAAGAGGACGGTGAAGGAGGAGGGGCCGGGGGATGCGGTGGTGCATGTGATGACGACTCTGATGGCTCTTCTTCTTCTTCTTCTTGCTCGACTTCGGGTGGGAAATGGGGCATGGGGAAGGGGACGGGCATTGTTGTGGGGAGTGGAGGGTGAGGGATGGGGAGAGAAGTGGGGGGAATGGGGAAGGAGGTGGGAATCGGGAAGGTTGCCGTTGGTGGACGGGGCAGGGAGGTAGGGATTGGCGCGGGACCGGGGCCCGGGATGGGGAATGGATGGATGGGGACGGTACTGCTGCTGCTGCTGCTGCTGATGCTGCTGGATGATGGGATCTTCGATAGGGTTGTCTGTGACGGTCGAATGGTGCGGCTGCGAGTGCGAGTGCGAGTGCGTGTGCGCGTGCGTGTGTTGATTGTGCGTGTTGGTCGCGGGGTTTTTGTCTCGATACCGCCGCCACCACTTGTGACACTAGGGCTGGGATGGGGCCCAGGGATGATGCCTTGGCTTGCGGTGGAGAGGATGGAGATTATCCCGCTGCTCGGCGGGGGCTGCACTGGCGCAGTGGAGGAGGATGCCGGGATACAGATGGGGAGGTCTTCGGGGAGAACGCAGATCAGGATGTCTTCTTCTTCCTCTTCCTCCTCCTCTTCGGCCTCCACTTCGTCGTAGGTGTTGTTGGGAGTGGCGCTTGGAGTGGCGCTTGGAGTGAAACTGGCTGGTAGGACACCGCTGCCGTGGCTGATTAATGCATGTCTCGGGGTGAGGATGTGCACTGTACTTCTGCTGATGCTGATGCTGCTGCTGGAGCTGGAGCCGCTCACGCTAACTGTGACCGTGTGGACTGAGGGACAGGGTGGACACTGCACAGATGGGCATGCAGGCTCGCTTTCTTTCGGCCAAGGCGTGGGCTCGGGCAGGATCTTCGCCGAACTGCTGTCGGGAGATGCAATCTTGCTAGACTCTGAAACCGGGAGGGAGTGAGTGGGGTGCACGACGCCTCCTGACGAGGGGATGTGAATACTGCTGCTGCTGGAAAGAGGAGGACGTGGGATGTGCTCGGGAGTACCGTCGTGAGGGGCAGGTGTCTCCTGGACGCCGTCGTGAGGCACGGAGGGGAATGGATGTGGTGGAGGTATAACAGGATCAGAGGCGGAAGGTACCACTCCAGGGGGGATGTGAACAGCCTCGGACGACGTGGGTGTAGCCGTCAGTGAGATAGCAGGGGGGAATGGGTGGATTGGACGAGCATCTCCATGGTCTTCGTCCCCATATGGAGGTATGGCACTCGATGTGGCTGAGTGAGATGGATGCATGACACTCTCAGAAGAGGAAACGGGCGTGCTCGAGGTGGAGTTCCCTCCTTGAGATGCAGACACAGAACTCGAAGATTTGGTTCCTGTTGTGGAGAGAGACCCAGGATTTTCTGCAAGGATTCCTGGATACTGAGGAACAGCTGCTACGCGGGGGCCAAGAGCCCAGGACGTCAAGACCACTGCTAGAATCTGCTTGGAGGAAGGCATCGTAGGCTGGCAATAATGTTGATCTTTCCGAAGGGTGTTTACCGAGGGCAAAACGTGAAGCAAGGCTGGCAGGCCAGAACGTCTCATGTCATGGAAGAAGTGGCATATATATGAACTCTGATGACTTCGTCTCTATGTATTCCGGGAAGCGATGTGTAATTTCCTTCCGACCCCTCAGATCACAATCCAATGAGCTTAAATTGCTCATCATGACAACAGACATGTGTGATGGTTGGCCGCCGTAGGTTTGTTGGGCAGACTTCGTCGGAAGTGAAGTCCGCAAACAGACGTCCGGCTCGCCTCATGGTGTCGCGAATGGGCAGCTGCATGCATATCTATACCTAATGTTTCTGCGATGTGGCTCAAAGCCTCCAAAAATGATATTATTTATTAGACTGGGAAGTAAGATTGATACCAATCTATGTCATAGTTTAGTAGATCACGAAAGCCTGGCGCCAGCCGACACGGACCAACTTGGCTGCAGTAACGCAAACAAGACCAAGGGCATAGCAGCAGATTGTGAAGGTGATGAGACCCCAGTACTTCCCATTGCACCGGGAAAGAATCACACCAGCGATAGGCATGCCAGTAAGGGTTCTGGAATTCTCGTCATTAGCCCTGCAAAATCCTTATTAGACAGTGGGGAATCGCCTTACCCAAAACTGACGATCGTGTACGCTGTGGCATAGTATCTGCCGTAATTCTCAATCTTGCAGAGCTGAGAGATACAGACTGGCGTAAGACTGATGTTACTGCCACTTGCGAATCCAAAAATGACACAGTACACAATCATAACCGGGACACTGTTGCTCGCTGGAAGCCAGAGGCATGCGTTGCATACAAGACACAAGGCAACGGTGACGATAAGTGTATTGAAGCGGCCCAGATAATCAGCAACAAAGCCAGGAATACCTCGTCCGAAGAACGAACCAGCGTTCAAGATCGCGAGCATCTGGTACGACAGTTTGGTCGAGACGCCATTATCCAGTGCGTAGGAGGAGATATAACTGAGTGGGACGAAAAGACCCCATTCGATAAAGAAGATCCCCAGGGTTGTGAGAGTGAATACAGGATCCCGAAAGATACGGAAGTCGGGAAGAACGTTTTCTTTCGAAGCCGGTTTCTTGGGCAACCGGGATTTGATGAGCAGGCATGCTGCTAGCAGCGTGATGAGACAAATGAGAGCAATGACTCGAGTTGCCCATGCCCACCCTATTTTGGGGAATAGAGCTTCCAGTGCCAGGGGGAAAATGACGCCACCAACGGAGCCACCCGTTGCGGCGATGCCCGTCGCGATTCCGCGCTTCTCGTTGAAAAAGTGTCCGATGGCAGAAATTGCTGGTGTAAACAGCAACGAGGCTCCGATACCCCCTGCAACACCTATTACTAGCATGAAGTGCCAGTACTGTGTGCAAAACCCCAAGGCGATCATCATCGCCATGATCAGCACAGCTCCGGCGCAGACAAGAAAGCGAGGTCCTTTAGCATCGAAGATAGGACCGATTTGGATGCCGCAGAAGAAGGTCAGGAATGCGTAGACGCCAAAGATCCACCCGATGCTGCCAGAGCTGTAGTCCTTCAGTTGGTGGCTCTCAATGTATGCCTGTAAAGTACCGATGGTATTCACTAGACCAAGAGAGCCAACGAGGCCCATGAAGCTCCCAAAGACTACCAGCCAGGCTTCTAGTCCACCTTCAGGATAGGTGTTGCCATCGGCATCAGTCGTTCCGACAGTCACTGGGACACTATGCGCTGAATCGTCCGAAGGAAATTCGCCAGATGAAGGCCTGTATAGACCGCCTTCGAGCGACGTTGGTGCACCTTGTGGGAGGCCATCGTTTATTTGGGTGTCCGGTTGTTTCTCCTCAAATGCTGGGATTGTCATTTCATTCAAGTCATTGCGCTGCGTGGTGTGTGCAGTAAACTCCACGCGCGCATTGTCCGAGGACTCGAAATTCGTCGCCATATCAATTGCGGTACCGGCGGGAAGGTGGACCACAGACGATTCTGGGGGGGAAGCTTATTTCGTTCCCGTGTTTTCAAACGGCCAGTATAAAAGTTGAAAGAGATACAGCAGGGCAAAGACAGATGGAAGGCACCAGGAATTAAGTAGAAGTTCTACAAGGAAAAAGCAACCATCCACAGGACAGTCCGCCACCAGTCTTCAGGTGCAAGCAAATATGCCCGAACGAAACAACCAGGTACCCTGGGAAAGCATGGCGGCGAAAGAAGAAAAAAAAAGTGGGAAGAGAAAGGAATGGATGGATATTGGATACTAAGCTAGCCGGGCAACCGATTAGTGGGTGGTATTCAGTGCTCCACAGTGGGGAGAAGGTTGTTTGCTTGGGCCTCTCTGCTTCTTTCTCGTACTGCACTTACTATGAGCAATTACTCCACAACTTCAGAGTCTCAGACTGACCACAAATCATGTATCATGGTGGTAGACGGCTGAGAAGCGAGGCCAATGACCCTGTCGAGTGGGTTTGTAAGAGTTCAGGGTCTGGCTGTGTCTGCTCTCTTGGCGAGGCAGAACACACGCTAAACGCCATTGGGAAGGTGGAACGAGAAGAGGAGATCGAAGATGAACTGTATTGTATCCTGGAGTCAGCAACCGAACAGGCTTGTGAGTCATACTTTATAGTTAACTCAGAAGACAGACAGAGGAGAAGAAGAGATGGGAGGAAGGCAGAGGAGCGGTGGAGGTTCTAAGATTGAAACTGAGGGAGCCTTGAACCTGAGGACATTACGTAAGGTAGGGTCCTAACACTGGCCTTTTTGGGCAGGGGTGCTTCAAGCCCCGAGCCTGTGCTGCTGTTACTCCAAGGTAAGTAGTCTGTCTTATCATGCAGTTTGTTTAATATTCCTTTTCCCTTTTCCCTGTTCAGGTTGCTGTATGAGCCCTGTCACCGACCACCACAGGCTCATCAACGTGCAAAGATTGGACCAGGATGCTAGCATTGCACAACAGAGGAGGTGAAGGATGTGCAAGTAGCCGTAGGAGTAGGCGCGACATACTGACACTCGATACAGAAGGAAATGAAGCCCCATGCTGTGTGACTGCTCACGTATGGCTGTCAGTTACCACCATTGCCCTGTTCGACGTTTGGGCATCTCGGCTCCGGAAGTAGCACATCCCCAACTGTTCAACATGTTCGAGTGGGATGATGTCCCTGTAGTATTAAGGCAGGCTTTTTCGCATTCGAACCCTTTCCAATGTTCTTTCACACACTGTGTATACCTGAGTCACCCATATCTGTAGTATCGCATCCCAGGATGGCTGGTATCATGCCAGACATTCCAAAACCGCCCATCAGCGAGCAACCAGTTACACTCCGCAACTGGCACCGCCATATTGCTTGGTTTAACACGACTTTTATCATCATAATCCCATTCTGCGGCTGCATTGCCGCTGTCTCCACACCCTTGCGACGACCGACTGCCATCTGGGCTGTGCTCTACTACTTTTGGACTGCGCTGGGTATTACCGCGGGCTATCATCGGCTTTGGTCACATAGAACCTACGAAGCGTGAGTTCTTCTCTGTATATGAACTGGCTCCATAGCTCCGGCAATCTGTGCATACGAGCATGATTGTTGACAGGCATTCCATCTTCAAGCGGCCTACCGCTCAGAATTTTCCTGGCCTGTGCCGGTGGAGGCGCCGTGCAAGGCTCGATTCGCTGGTGGAGTGCGAAACATCGTGCCCATCACAGATGGACTGACACAAAGAAGGACCCCTACAATATCCGAAGGGGCCTCTTATACTCCCACGTGCTATGGATGATACTGAAGGAGGACCCCAAGCACTGTGGTCGGCCAGATATCTCTGACTTGAACGAAGATCCAGTAGTCATCTGGCAGCATCGGAACTATATCAGATTTGTGCTTGGCTTTGGTTTGATCCTACCGATGGCCATGGCGGGCTTGGGGTGGGGTGACTGGAAGGGTGGCTTGGTGTATGCCGGCATCTTGAGGATGTTCCTATTCCAGCAGGCGACTTTCTGTGTCAATTCATTGGCGCATTGGCTGGGAGATCAGGCCAGTTTTCATGTGCATTGGCGAAGGAGTCCTGATCTGCTGACAAGCTTTAGCCCTTTGACGACAGGAACTCGCCTCGCGACCATATTTTTACCGCGTTGGTCACACTTGGTGAGGGCTACCATAACTTCCACCACGAGGTAAAGCTATCCGCTTGAGGATCGGATACCAATTCGAGATTTTCAGGTATCGTTGATGGTAACTTCTGGTTTGCTAGTTTCCCTCGGATTATCGCAACGGCATTGAGTGGTGGCAATATGATCCCACAAAATGGGCTATATGGATCTGGTCCAAGTTCCGTCTGGCCTCGAACCTCAAGCGATTCCGCACCAATGAGATTGAGATGGGCCGTGTGCAACAGATGCAGAAGAGACTTGATCAGCGGGTGGCCTCTCTCAAATGCAGTATTCCTCCGAATTAGCTGCCGGTAGTCGACCGGAACCAATTTGTCGTAGATGTGCGGAATGGAAACGTGGTGATTGCTGTTCCGGCTCTGCACATGACGCGACGACAAGAACCGTCTGTTAAAATCTCATGGTAAGGGAATTGCTTTCTCGAATGTTAGTCAGAGCATGTACCATCACTCGTACGCAGCTCACAAGCGGATTTTGACATTTTCAACTGAGGTACAGCCCCTTTGTATGTATTGGTGAGGAGGAAGAGGGATAATTTTTAAGGGACATCATTGCAATCGGACGAACATGGGATTGTTCTGCTTAGAAAGTCTTGACTGGTCAGTCTAACACATTGTGCTGGAGCCTAATGGTAATGATAGATGACCTGTGGTTTTCATTCTACCGTCGAGCCAGGTTCTTATGGAGCGTGTATCAGTTTTGGATGTCCTGACACATTGACCCAGTTGAGGCTAGAAGTTGAAATCTTATCTTAGATTTCGTTCCAGAACTTCATGTCTTTGTATACGTTTTCGAACCTCAGCAAACATTTCTGCTTGGGAATATCCGTCATTCGTCCGTTGACAAGAATATGCTGACGGCTTTATTGACTTCGATTCTGGGTACCGCTGTGTAGGTAGAACTGGATTCGACTTTCTCAACAGAAGGGCTTTTGCAGGCGGGTTCTAATTCTGCCTTTGAGAATCATTTGGCAAAGTGAACTGTGCTTCATCTAGAGCTGAGATGCACCCTTGAAGTGCCAACTGAGTGAGAGTTCACGCCATTCAGCGATCAATGAATGGTGGTACCCGCAGCCTTTGAAGAATATCTGCCGGAAGTCAAAGCCTCGACTGCTAGTTCCAACCGTATACTTCAAACCGATATCAACAAAGCAACAGAAGAACGCGAATTCGCTTCAAAGACAAGAGATTGGAGTATGTTGTAGCGGAAAAGGTGCTTGTTTTGACCGGAAACACAGCGGCTGTTTTTCCTGCAAAGACGAAGGCCGGACGGATCCCGGCGAAAGCTTGTTCTCGGCCCAACCAGTTGTCGGCATTCCCATCGCGGCTAGACTATCTCCGTCGTACTCCGTCCCTCCTCCGTGACTCCGCGAGACACTGCGATATTAACCACGACCCATCACATCATCCCACATTGGGGAAATGAAGAGAGCAAGGTTTGAGCCAGTGACTGCTCGTCTTTCGAATTGTCTTATCTGTGCAAATTTCCATCACGTTATCACCTTCCTTGACGATCGTTAGCATTGTCGGCACTAAGCGGCCAACAATCCCGTTTGTGTATTAGCCCGGAGAATTCTCCACAGCTTAGGGACCTATCGCTTGCAGCCGGAACTGAGCATCAAATGCTACGTGATCCTGTCTTCATGTCCATCGCTGCCTCTACCGTTTGATCCAGCCGCACTCTTACCAATCGAATGCTTTCTTGCCCATATCGCTCACCCAGCGTAATCAAACCCAAACCCACACGGGAATAGGATTGGTACGACGTAAGCAGTGCATATCCCCGACACTGCAAGGTCCGGTGCCTGAAAACAATCGGCAACGGTGAGGAGATAGCCGAGCACCATGCAAGGTCCCATCCCACCTGCCAGAAGTCTTGCAAGCTATCAAAAGAACCAGTTAGCCTGTGTACGCTTCTCCACTTGGTCATATGCGGCCCTCTCAAGTCAACGCATCGATTGAAGCTTTCTCCGAACCTAAATGGCTCCACACGATGACCGTATCAAATAGCTCATCAGCCTATCTTTCTTGATAGGTAGTACAGCTCGAGTGACATAAATACCCCTCTTTCTCTTGCTCAGACTCAAGAACAGCCGAGCAAGTTTGTGTCCCCAGGCTTCATCCCACATCACACTACCAGTATGCTGTTCCGCAGTCTACTGTCCACGGCTGTCCTAGCCGCCTCATTATGCGCGGACCATGCATCTGCTGGTAAACTTGGCCGTTTCGCTCAGAGATCTCGCGACGCCAAACCGGCTAAGCGCGCAGCGGAGCTTGCGAAGAGGTCTCACTCGACCCCTGTTGAGGACTATCGGTTCTACAACAACGCTACGCAGGGTATGTAGCCCAGAGCAATGATCAAAGAACAGCGCTGACTTGGGTCTCAGCCTTCCGTGTGAAGAGTCTTCCTGATGTTCATTACGACATCGGTGAGACATACTCTGGATTGATCCCCATCGAGAAGGACGATCCGTCAAGAGCACTTTTCTTTGTCTTCCAACCTACCGTCGGTGCGCCTGTGGATGAGGTCACCATCTGGTTGAATGGTGGCCCTGGATGCTCGTCTCTGGTTAGTTTCTGGCATTATTCTTGTTCGCATAGATGCACTACTGATGCGTTTACAGGAGGGCTTTCTCCAGGAGAATGGACGGTTCACCTGGCAGCCTGGAACATACTTGCCGGTTGAGAACCAATACTCCTGGGTAAACCTGACCAACGTGCTGTGGTAAGTTGCCATCTCTAATATCCCACTAGAGACACCCGAGCTAAGCCAACTAATTAGGGTCGACCAACCTGTCGGCACGGGCTTCTCTGTTGGCACCCCGACTGCAGTGTCGGAGGAGGAGATCGCACAGGACTTCATTAAGTTCTTCAAGAACTGGCAGCAGACCTTCGGCATCAAGAACTTCAAGATCTACGTGACTGGCGAGAGCTATGCAGGCCGCTATGTCCCTTATATCTCAGCTGCCATGCTGGACGAGAAGGACACAGAGTACTTTGACCTGAAGGGTGAGTGTCTCCAAGAAGTTCGAGAACGAACCCGTTTGACTGATTACTTAAAATAGGAGCATTGACCTACGACCCTGTCATCGGGCAGTTCGACTATGTTCAGACCGACGCCCCGGTCGTGCCCTTCGTTCAGGACAACAAGGTCCTCTTCAACTTCAACGCCAGCTTCCTTGCCGAGCTGGAGCAGCTCCACGAGTCGTGCGGCTACAAGGCCTTCATGGACGAGTACCTCACCTTCCCCGCCAGTGGGGTGCAGCCTCCAAAGAGCATGAACTACTCGGGCGACTGTGACCTCTGGGACCTGATCAACAACGAGGTCCTGGGCAACAACCCCTGCTTCAACCCCTACGCGATCAACGAGAACTGCCCCATCGTCTGGGACGTGCTGGGCTTCCCGACCGAGGTCGACTACACCCCGCCGGGGGCGACGGTCTACTTCGACCGGTCGGACGTGAAGCGCGCCCTGCACGCCCCGGCCAACATCACCTGGTCCGAGTGCTCGAACGAGAGCGTCTTCGTGGGCGTGGGCGGCCCCGAGGGCGAGGGCGACCTGTCCGCCAACCCGATCGAGCACGTCCTGCCGCAGGTCATCGAGGGCACCAACCGCGTGCTGATCGCCAACGGCGACTTCGACATGGTCATCCTCACCCAGGGCACCCTGCTGTCCATCCAGAACATGACTTGGAACGGCAAGCTGGGCTTCGAGACCGAGCCCGCCACCCCGATCAACATCGAGCTCCCGGACCTCCAGTGGGACCCCATCCTGGGCGGCGCCACCGGCGGCCAGGGCGACATGGGCATCCAGCACTACGAGCGCGGCCTGATGTGGGCGGAGACCTACCAGAGCGGCCACATGCAGCCGCAGTACCAGCCCCGCGTGTCGTACCGACACCTGCAGTGGCTGTTGGGGAGAATCGATAAGCTGTGAGGCATCCGCCGGAAGCTTGAACCCCTAGGCCGTCCTGTATAGCTAGTATAGATACGATCCAAACCTCATCGACGTACATGATAGAAACGGGAATCTTATATCTTCAGAGGGATCCCTTTTCCAGAACAGTCCACATCCTCCCGTGACGATCCCATCACAGTCCTCTCCAGTCCAAGCGCCTAGGCCAGGCCGAAGGTCGGGACTCGGCTCATCATATACTTCGACTTACCCCTTTAAGTAAAGAAACACATACGCGTAGCCATTTCCCCACGGACAGACCCTGGCCCTACAGTAGATTCCTGCCCAGCGAAACAAGCTTGATCGACTTGAGACCACGAATCCCTCTCCGATCCAGCATCATCATCTACCCCTTCTGCAATATCACATTGACATCGAAACCCGAATCGGGAGAAGTCCGTATCCCCCAAAGTCCCTATCGCCCATGTATCTTCCAGAAGGAGTAATATCCGGCCACATCATCCCAGCGAACAATCCCCTAAACACATCATCAGTAATCAGCTTTCAAACCACGGGTAGCGAGCTACCACCACCCCAAACAGGCAATCTATTCCTGGCGCGAAGCTCACGGCATCACGTTGAAGCTACGCCACCGCGGCGCACCGCAAAAGTTGCCGGGGGCAGTACAGTACCTTACCCCAAGTAAAGCACCGGGGAATAAGTTATATTAACTATTGTAGTTTCGGATGATCGTGGCCGTCCGGTTAAGCACAGAGGCTTTGGTACTGCAAAGTACCGACCTGCCTACTCCATCATGGATGGGGTTGGGCTTTGCTTATGGGTTGCTGGTTAATGGCGTGTGGCTGACTGGCTTGGCTGTCTTTGCAGGTACTCATGTACCAACTCGATAGTAGTGTTGATGATGATGATGATGATGGGGATGGGGCTGGTGATGGTGACGGGCGATAATGTGGAATGAGTTTTTGTATTGCATTGTATGGTTGACGGACATGGTAGATGATAACTGTTCAACTGTGTGAGCTCACTAGCGATTACTTATTTTGGACAGTAGTCGGGGAGTGAAGTACAGTACTGGACGTACTTTGTCTGACACTGTCACGGGTACTGCATTGACTAACTCAATCGGTGACTTATGATTGTGGCAAGTGCTTACGCTGCTCTGCTTAACTTACGCTGTAGCCCTGCACAGCACTGGAGATCGACTAGCGGTGTTTTTTTAACTGCTTTAGTGTCGCTCCATAACGTATACAGACTAGTCGCGTTCATCTTACGGATGATAGCGAGACTGAAAAGTTTCTTCGTTGTTATGCATGGAGACCCTCATATCAGACCATGAATACAATTGATTGTTGGCGGAACAGTCCTGGCGCGGATCATGCCATTGTTAGGTGGATCTTAGCGGACGAGGGGATATAGAGACGGCTGAGGGGTTGAAAAG